CAGAGGGTCGAGGCAACTTTGGCCCTTCTTGTAGAGAGCGGACAATTGAAATCAGCAACAGAAATAAATACATAATTAAATAATTAAAGGAGGATCAGTGAGGGGCTGGTGCTCTGTGTACTGGGTGCAGCTCTGACTGCCACCCCCCCTGACCCAGAAATGGATTAATGGGAAGAAAATGGATGGAAATAAAATATGTGAGAAAAGTGAAATGTTTCTGTGAAGTATCCTGGACTCAGAAGCGGATTCTGCTGATTCTAGTTACGGTCCCTGCGCCGTGCCGCGGCGCAGAGTCCTCCCGTAGTTGCTGCCTCGCCCGCGGGGGGGTCTCTGCGCTTTATCTCAGCGCGGAGCTCCCCCGCGGAGGCTGTCTCGCCTGCTGGAGGATCTCTCCGCCCGGGGCATGGCCCTCCCACAACCGCCCGCACTACCACCACCACCAACCCCGCTGCAGGGGCGCCGGTTCGGTCTCCGGCTCCCTCCTCCTGCTCCACTGCAGCTCACGGGGCTCGCAGCAGCTCTGCTCCGGGCGCATCCCAACGCTCTCCTGTCCCCTGCTCTCCCCCGGGTCCTACTCCAGTCACTCCCTCCCCTCCACGACCTCTATTCGCACCAACTACACTCCTGGTGGGGGACTCTATCATCAAACACTGTAAGTTCTTCAATGCCATCACGCACTGCTTTCCCGGAGCCACTGTCCCTACCATCCTCACTAAACTACCCGCACTTCTACAGACAGCACCCCCCACAATAACCCGGATCATAATTCATGTTGGTACAAATGATGCTGCACTCCGCCAATCTGAAATCACCAAACTCCATTTTAAGGACCTTTTTAACCTTTTATCAAAAACCGGAAAAAGTGTTTTTATCTCTGGCCCTCTGCCCACGTTTAACCGGGGCGTGGAACGTTTTAGCAGGATACTATCACTCACCACTTGGCTTCAAAAATCATCACAGCAGCACAACTTTGGTTTTATTGACAATTTTAATTTGTTCTGGAACCGCCACCCCTTCTTCACACCCGATGGACTCCATATCAATAAACTCGGCACCCGGTACCTGATTTCAAACATCACCCACTCAGTTCAATCCCGTCCCCCGCACCTCTGACAACCCATCACTCCATCCCACATCATTCCTGCCCCGCTGGACTCCAACATCAGTCCCTGCCCCCCCCCCAACAAGGAATTTCAGTTCTGTCCAGACCCCGCCCCTACAGACCGTCCATACTCCGGAAACCGTCCCTCAACACCCTCATCCCTGTTGCCCTTTGCTCCTCCACATCATCTTCTCCCCTCACTACAAACAAAAATGACTCTCCATCCACCATCAGGTTTGCTCTTTTAAATGTACGCTCTCTTTTAAATAGAACTTTTATCATTAATGATTTGATTTTACAACACAAACTGGATGCTATGTTTTTAACTGAGACCTGGCTGGGTCCGAATGCTCCGGCTGTTCTCACAGAGGCCTCCCCTCCCGATTTTAGCTTTGCTTTTAAAACAAGAGAAGGAAGAAGAGGTGGTGGCACAGCCTCAATTTGGAAAAACACCCTGGCCACCAAAACCATTAATTTTAACCAATACTCAAGTTTTGAGTATCATGCCCTTGTTTTTAGCAGCCCCGAAATTTTAGCAGTAACCATCTATCGGCCACCAAAAAAGTGCAGCCGTTTTATCAATGAATTTTCAGAGTTTTTATCTTTTTTATACAATTCCTATAATAGGATTGTTTTAACCGGTGATTTTAACATCCACTTTGACAACCCATCAGACCATTTTACCTGCGAGTTTGTAAGTATTTTAAATTACATGGATTTTACTCAACATGTCACACAGCCGACGCACAACAGAGGGCACACCCTCGACCTGGTCATTACTTATGGCCTGAGTGCGGGTGTGTCCTCTGTTGTTGACCTGGCTATCTCTGACCACTATTGTGTGTTTTTTAAAATCACTGGTTTTGTTAAACAGGAGACCTCTGTGAGAACTGTGAAGAAACGACGTCTAACCCCTGAAGTGGCTGCAAATTTTATGGACATTCTAAATAACACTCCTCAGTTGGTTTTACCTGCCCCCTGTGATTTTATAGCAGATGATTTTAACAGTAGACTAAGAACTACACTGGATCAGGTTGCTCCATTAAAAATTGTAAGCATTCAACAAAAATCTATAGCCCCTTGGAAAAATGAGGAAGCAAGGAGTATGAAAAGACAGTGCAGGGTGGCAGAGCGAAGATGGAGAAAAAATAAAACGACAATCAATCACGAAATATATAAAAACCGACAGCAAATTTACAACAACACAATCAGGAAAAACAGGAACAATTACTTTGCAAAACTAATCAGCCAGAACAAAAATAATCCAAAAATCCTCTTTTCAACCATCGACACCATTTTAAACCCTGATTTTAGCATGTCTCTTTTAACCCCCACAGACTCCCTCTGTGAGGATTTTGCAGTCCACTTCATGGTAACATTTTATCCAACCGCACTACTGTTTTTAAACACATCTGATTGTTTGTCTTCACCAGAGGAAACACTGGACAGTTTTGTCCTGGTTGATGCTGAGATGCTTGATAAAGTTTTCTCCTCAGTGAGGCCCACCACATGTCTTTTAGATCCAGTCCCCACTCCATTTTTTAAGTCATTTTATGAATCTTTTAGAGAGGAGCTTTTAAACCTGATGAATTGCTCTCTTCAGACTGGGGTCTTTCCTGCAGCCTTCAAAGCGGCTGTGGTGAGGCCCCTTCTGAAGAAGAGCAATTTGTATTTTAATGATTTTAACAACTACAGACCGGTATCCAACTTACCATTTTTAAGCAAAATTTTAGAAAAACTTGTTTTTACCCAGCTCAATGCCTTTTTAGATCAGCAGCAAATTTTAGAGAAATTTCAATCAGGATTTAGGGTGAACCACAGCACAGAGACTGCTCTTTTAAAGATTTTAAATGATTTTAGACTAAATTATGATTCTAAAAAGGTGACCGTGTTGGTTCTACTGGATCTAAGCGCTGCCTTTGATACAGTAGACCACACCATTCTTTTATCCCGCCTGAAACACCTCGGCCTCTCTGGTGCTGTCCACAAATGGTTCACTTCTTATTTAACAGACAGATCCTTCATGGTAAGTTTGGATACCTGCTCCTCTCAGGTCCATAAAATCACATGTGGTGTGCCCCAGGGTTCCATTTTAGGTCCAGTCCTTTTTAACCTGTACATGCTCCCTCTTGGCGGTGTCATCAGGAGACATGGAATTGACTTCCACAGTTATGCAGATGATACACAGCTGTACATCTCCATGTCTCCTGATGACACCAGGCCAATGGATGCTCTTTTTAACTGCATTTTAGACCTGAAATCCTGGATGGCAGAAAACTTTCTCCAGCTCAACCAGGACAAAACTGAGGTTTTAGTCATCGGTCCTGAGGCCCAGAGAGAGAAACTTTTACCGAAACTCCAATCACACTCTTTTAATCCATCATCACAAGTGAAAAACCTGGGCGTAATCTTTGACTCTGAGCTGACTTTTATTCCTCACATCAAGAACATCACAAAAATAGGTTTTTATCATTTAAAGAACATCGCCAGAGTCCGCCCCATTCTCTCTCGGGCCAACACGGAGACGCTGATGCATGCTTTTATCACCAGTCGCATTGACTACTGTAATGCCCTGCTCTCTGGTCTTCCCAAAAGGAACATTTCAGGTTTACAATTACTTCAAAACTCGGCTGCACGTGTCCTGACTAAGACCAGGGGGCGGGACCACATTACACCGGTTTTAAAATCGCTGCATTGGCTCCCCGTGTGTTTCAGGATCGATTTTAAGGTTCTTTTAATGGTCTTTAAATGTCTTAATGGTCTTGGGCCTTCTTATCTTTCAGATTTGCTTTTATCCTATGAACCTTCCCGGCCCCTGCGCTCCTCCGGCAGCAGACTCCTAACCATCCCCAAAGTCAGGACACACACTCACGGCGAGGCATCTTTATAGCACTACGGCCCCCGTCTCTGGAACAGTCTGCCGGAGGAGCTCAGGGCCGCAGAGAACGTTCATATTTTTAAGAGTAGGCTCAAGACGCACCTTTTTAGAGCAGCTTTTGATTAGTATTTATTATCTATTATTGCTTTTTAGTACATCTATTTATGTTTTTAGACGGATTATATTTTTATTTATTTTTATTATTTACTATTTTTAATTATTTATTGTATCTACCCATTTACTATTGTTATTATATTAGGCAGCTGCCATTTTTCTTTTTATTTTCACATTCTATTGTTCTACTTTCTATTGTATTATTGTATTGTTTTAGTGTCCCCAGTGTTTCCTCTGGAGGAGCCCTCTGCACTGAGAGCTGGGGTCTGCTGTGGCTTCGGGGGACTGGCTCTTGGATCCGGTGGGGGTCTGGGGCCTCCTCTCTCCTCTGGGTCCTATGGGGTCTGAGTCCTGGGCCTGGTGGGGTCTGGGGCCCCTCTCTCCTCTGGGTCCTGTGTCGTTGCCTGTGGCTGCAGCCGGCTCTCTGCTCCTGGTGCAGATGGCTCCTTGGATGACGCTTCTTCAGCCGGTTACATCTGCTCCCAGCCCCATTTCTTTTTATTGTTTTACCTATTTTACCTGATATGACTTTATACTTGTGTATATATGTGTGTGTGTGTGTGTGTGTGTGTGTGTGTGTGTGTGTGTGTGTGTGTGTGTGTGTGTGTGTGTGTGTGTGTGTGTGGGTGTGTGTATTGTATATATAATTATAAATGTGATTTTGGGGGGTCTGTGGGGAGGAGGGTTTAGGGCTGGGCATGTTGGATTGTTTTTAACTAAACTGTAAAGCACTTTGTGTTACACTTTTTGTATGAAAAGCGCTTTATAAATAAAATTTGATTGATTGATTGATTTGAGTAAATGCCTGAAAAATAACAGTTAAAGAGGGTCTCTCCCACTGCTCGTCCTGGTCCAGTGTTTACATCCTCATCCATCACTCGTCTGCAGGAAGCACTTGATTGTCCACTAAGCAAACCTCCTCCTCCTCAGCAGCAGAGGGGTCTTTTGTTTTGGCCCATGCCCCATATCAGACCTGTCCCTGGGGCCGCTCTCACTCCCACTGCCCTGGACCGACAGAGCCAGGAGGTCACAGCGAGTGGGAAGAGGATCCACAAAAATGGACCGAGACCGGGTCTGAGGGTCTGGGGGGGTCTGGGGGTTCTGGCGGGGTCTGAGGGTCTGGGGGTTCTGGAGGACACTTACACAGATCCATGAATTAATTGTTTAAAATTCGTTTGATGAGACCTCCCAAAACCTGGATGAGTAAATACTTTTAATCACACAGTGTGAGAAGAGATGAAGTTAACAATGATTTTGATAATTGATCATGTGTTTGGATCCCAGAGGACAAAGAATAATGGATTTTAGACCAGAACAAAGGTCTAGTGATGTCCCTACACTGCAAAAAGTCAAAAATGGAAAAGAATTGGCAAAATGTGTCTTAATTTGAGGAGATTCTGACTCAAAACAACAAAACGAGACAAAGAGAAATGTTCTGGTTTTAAAAAGATAAAAGAAATGTCTCGATTGGAGAAAATAAAGCCCAGTTCTTGAAATAAAACTAAACGCCTTTGTCCCTTTGGAGAAATATTTGAAAAAACACTAGATTCAAGCGTTTATGACTTCTTATTGGATCATTTTTTACAGTGTGTGGAACATCGTCATAGCCTCAGGTTCTCGTTCTACAGCCTGACACCTGGATCTACAGCCTCGGTCCTCGATCTACAGTCTGACACCTGGGACCTCTGGAACACACTTTATAAACTGTAAATATAGAAATCTATGTTTTTCTGATAAAAAAACATATTTTTCTGCTGCTTTTTCCATTGATTTGTGAGTCGGCGTCTGTGATTGGCACACAATGCAGATGTGTGGGCAGCGGGTGGCATCTGCAGCTGAGGGGGAGACAGGGGGGGAGGGAGGGGAGGGAGGGGAGTGAGGGAGGGGGAGGTTAACCACTCCTTTAATACAACACACACACGATAAACGATTCAAAGCAACAAAGACGTCAAAGGAATCAATCAAAAGCTTTAGTGTGTGTCTGTAATTACAGTCCCCCGCGGGCTAAAAGAGAGCTAGCATGTGTCGGCTAAAGCTAAAGTAGCGACTGCTTCGTCCAACCCCTTTTCACACTGTATTTCAGACTTTTTAGTGCCATATATACAAGTTTGACGTATATTTTGAATCAAATGGACAAACACAAAATCTTCAGTTCATTTTTTACATCAATCAACTTTTTAATAATAATAATAATAATAAAGCATCGGTTTTATATAGCGCTTTTTTTGGACACTCAAAGACGCTTTACATGTGTCATTATTCTTTCACTCACAACCAGTCTGTGCCATCGGCCCCTCCGACCACCACCAACCATTCACACACACACCAGACTCATTCTAGGCAATGGGGGTAAAGTGTCTTGCCTAGGGACACAACGGCAGTTTATCACTTTACAGCCGCAGCCGCCCCACTGTGGCTGGTGTTCCCAGAGGTTGAGTGTCTTGCCAAGGACACAACGACAGCAGACAGTGGGAGTCGATGGTGAGAGTCAGTTTTATTTCATTTTCGCTCAAATTGTTGTGATTCAGGGCGATGTGAAAATACACGGAATGGATTTGTGTGTGCAGTATTTGTTGCCACTTGTACTTACAATCAAGAGAGAGAGAGAGAGAGAGACAGAGAGAGGGACAAAGAGAGAGAGACAAAGAGAGAGAGACAAAGAGAGAGAGACAGAGAGAGAGACAGAGTCAGACGTGTCACTGCAGCCTCCATCAGTACCTCCTCCGCTCATGTGGAGGAGGAGGAGGAGGAGGAGGAAAAGGCAGAGGAAAAGGAGGAGGAGGAGGCAACCGTCGAACTGGAAAACGAGCTGCTGCCCTTGTGTCCTTGGGCAAGACACTGTAGATAGATGGTGTGTGTTGGCTTTGTTTGAGTGATAGATACAAAGCCTCTCTCTCCCTCCTCTCTCTCTCCTCTCTCTCTCCTCTCTCTCTCCCTCCTCTCTCCCCCTCCCCCCTCTCTCCTCCTTCTGTGATGGACAGAGGAGACCTGAGTCCGGACCCTGGACCCAGGACCTGGACCTGGACCCTGGACCTGGACCTGGACCAGGACCCAAACAGCAGCAGCTGCTCCTCACAACAACAGGTCTTTGTCCCAGAAACAGATTTAAACTTAACCTCCTTCAAACGAACTGCACAGAGCCTGAAGATGTGAACAACAGACACACATCACGACTAAACAGAGGAGGGGGGGGGGAGAGGAGAGAGAGAGAGAGAGAGACACACACAGTGACAGAGAGAGAGAGGGAGAGAGAGAGGGGGGAGAGAGAGAGAAAGAGAGTGACAAAAAGAGCGACAGAGGCCAGGGAGAGAGAGGAAAGAGAGAGACAGAGAGAGAGAGAGAGAGAGAGAGAGAGAGAGAGAGAGAGAGAGAGAGAGAGAGAGAGAGAGAGAGAGAGAGAGAGAGAGAGAGAGAGATTGATAGATACAGTTCAATAGAAAACAAACAGAACATGGTTAAAAACAGTTCAGTTTCGCTGCAAAAACTGAAGGATATGATCTTATTTGTGATTTTTTTCTGTTTATTTCAGTTCAATCTTTCTAAAACCATGAGTGTCGCTCTTACGTCCTGCAATAACCTTTCTATAACAGGCTGCTCTTTGGCTGGCTCTGCTGTTTATAAAGTATATGTTTCTGCTCTTTCTGCTCTTGATAAACGCAGAGCCACAGCCTGTCATAAAACCACAACAGCAGCTGACAATGATCCGATAGAACTTCGTACTTGAGCATTTCTCTGGAGCACGATGGTGCGTGATGTAAAACCTGGGCTCACTCTGTCTCTTTGATCCAGTCCGTGAGGAGCAGGACACGCTGCTGTCCGCCAGGGGGCGACATGGCTCCTTAATGTGCGTCTGATTCAGCTGCAGCCTCAACACAGCGAGACTTTTGGAGAAGACGAGAGTAAAGATCTCTCGCTCTTCCTCTCTCTGTCTCTCTCTTCCTCACTCTCATTCTTCCTCTCCCCCACTCTCGCTCCTCTGTCTCTCCGGTCTCACTTCCTCTCTCCTCTCCTCCTCCTCTCTCTCCTCTTCCCCCCCTCTCTCCTCTCCCTCCTCTCTCTCCTCCCCCTCTCTCCTTTCCCCCCTCTCTCTCTCCTCTCCCCAATCTCCCCCCCCACTCTCTTATTTATCAAAGAAGGGGTATTCACTTTTTCTCATTAAATTACAGTAAATGCTGAGAACTAAGACCCATGTGACGTCACTGTTCCACACTTTGAGCTGAGAGCTGATTGGTCCTCACTTTTTCACATATATCTCTGAATAAAACTGATGAAAAACAAGTGACAAAGTTAGAAAACTGTAAAAAAAATAAAACCAAAACAGAGAAGGACGTCATTGCAGTTTGTTTGTCGTGGCGTGAAAGTTACAGACCCCAGCTTTAAAGCCATCGCGCTGCACGTGGGGGTGGTGCTCTTTGTGGGGGTCCAGATTGTGTCGCGCGCTGCTGCTGCTGGTAACTTGTTTATGGTCATGTGTGGGTTGATGGTTGTTAACGATTACTGCTCCATTACCCGACTCCCCCCGCGAGCTCCTCCCCCCGCGAGCTCCTCCTCCTCCTCTTTCTTTCCTACAAGTGCCAGTCCAAATACACACACATACACACACATATATATATATATATATATACAGACACACACACACTTATATATAAACAGAGACACACACATATGTACACACATCTCTCCTTCACCCTCCTCCTCTTCCCCTCTCTCCCTGTCGCTCTCTCCCTTCCCCTGTCTCTCTCTCTCTCTCTCTCTCTCTTTCCCTGTCCCTGTCTCCCTCTCTCTCTCTCCGTCCCTCTCTCTCTCTCTCTCTCTCTCTCTCTCTCTCTCTCTCGACAGGCCCCGCCCCCACCGCTCGGCCCGATCTGCCTCAGAGCAAATATTCCACTGGGAAGAACACACACTTTTCGCGCACACACACACACGCACAGAGAGGCGCGCAACACGGACACGGGAGGAATGACAGCAGAGGCAGAGCTGTAAAAACAGGACGAAAGAAGAGAAAAAAGCCTAAAACGTGGAGTAAAAGCAGCGCAAATGGCACGCATGGATTCTCGGACCGTACTCGCGTTTCTCGCTTTGGGGATTTGTTTCACTCTCGTCTCTTCAGGGAGGATTTATCCACCGAATGAAGGTAGGTTACGGGGAAACTACTCCGGGGACTTTCCTGTTCTAGGTTTCCAGACATGGTTCGCTTCAGAATGAGTGGAATCTGTACAAGTTTGACGCGTAAAAACATTGGCGCATTTTGGCACGTTTTTACGCACGGGTTATACATATATAAACGAGGTTGTCGAGATTTTTTCTTTTGGATTAAGAGAACTGTGCGGAGGATTTATGGCAAAAAAAGAAAGCAGGGAATGAACCAAGCTTAGTGCAAGCTCAAAAACAATTTCACATAAAACCAATAAACAAATAGATTATAGTTGAGAATCTCGCGTGTCCATAATGTCCAAAGCGAAGCCAGGGATAGACTCGAAGCTTGATCCACACCAGCTCAAATACGCATTGGACCAGCCAGTTTTTTACCCACATAAATTCAAAGTTTTATGGCTGTAAACTTGCACCACAGTGGAATCCAAATGACAAAAGCCTGTGTGTAAATAGTGGCAAGTTTGAATCGGATTTGCTTTTGAATTATTGGTATTTTACATGTATTTTTGGAGGAACACGCACGTACTGCTGCCGTTTTTTTTTGTGGAGAGACACAACGCAGCCAGGATCGGAGCGCGCACGGGCTCTGGGCACGAACTGTACAAGAAAACTAGCACTAAAACCTGTTAAATCAAGTTATGATTAATGCATGGAGCTGGCGTGGATCAGAATCACGCAGAAACCTCTCCAGGGACTTGTTTGCTTTACAACTCGTTTACATAAATTATCACCACATGCAGTCATTGTTCACTTTAATTCAATATTTAATTAACAAAGACGAGATGATGTCAAATAAACAGCAGTTTTATGGTAATGGGCTTGGAGTTGCTCGTGATTGTGTGAAACCAAATGCAAATTCAGAACTGATTCAAAAAGAGGAAAGAATCTCACTTTGCGTCTTTGCGCGTTCGTGAATAATCTATACTTTTAAATTCAATTCTCGAGGACAACAGAGGGCCCTGTTCTCAAAGTGTAGAGCTATTTTTTTACGTGACAAGTCTCTCCTTCAGTTTAGATTCTCCTTGTTTTGGCTGGTGCAAAAGCGGTTTCACGCAGAGGGAAATATGGCCTGGTTTCTCAACAAATCCCCAAAAACTATTAAAATCCACGAATTTCCTTCATTGGCTTTGTTCCTGGTTCAGATTCTATACTTTAATCATTTAGACCTGGATTTAACATGGACAAACGTGTGTGTATCTGGGACTTGTTGGTTCCTACACTGCAAAAAAAAGATAAAACATAAGGTAAATAATGCTTGAATTATTAATAGTGTTTTTATCTTAATGTTAGAACAATTAGACAAGAGTTGCCAATGGAACAAGCTAAAATATCTTGTTGTATGAAGACACTAGAAAATTCACGAAATGTCTTCCTTGAAATGAGACAACATTTGCAAAAGCACTTGAAAGAATAACACTAAACGGCCTGTTCCATCGGTTGTTTTGAGACAGTCAAAAAGTGCTGAAATTAAAATAAAAAAGCGCTTGATTCCACCATTTATTACTTCATATGTTATCATTTTTTGCAGTGTAGAATGTGTAAAAATATGATAAGAAAAGATTGGACTTGTTCTAGTGTTTTGTTCCTATTTCTTTCGGATTCAATGGTTTTCTTTGTGTTCCGTTTGGGCCTCTGAGTGTTGAGGTTAGGAAAGTAATGGAAGGAAAGGTAATGTAAATATGTAGCACAAACTGCCACTAAATGTGATGAAATATTCTCCGAACAGAGACGCAGCTAAAAGTGGAAACACAGAGACTTCCAGCGTCTTTAGTTTGCGTTTGAAAGAATTGAAAAAAAAAAAAAACACAGTTAATGTCAATAAAAGGCAAATTATTCCATTTACAAGGAGCATTGTGTGAGACGGCTCCTGTTTTTACTGGTACAGGTTTCTCCATCGTATGATAAATACACAATCTGAGGTTTCTCCCCTTTTCCCACCGGGCTGAGCCGATTCTTGCCGATGCTCGAGGGACTAGGACAGTGATGATTCTGGATATGTACTAACATTTATTAACATTTAAGGACATTTAAGGACATTTATCATTTAGACCTGGATTTAATACGGACAAATAGGTGTGTAACTGGGACTTGTTGGTTCCTACACTGCAAAAAAAAAGATAAATTATAAGGTCAATAATGTATGTATTAACATTTAAGGACATTTAAATCATAGTATATACACTGCAAAAAGGGAAACATACTGGTGCAGTTCACTTTATTCCTGTGTATTTATATCTAGTCACACGTTTTTGTAAATGTATTGTTTCTTTACTTTTTCTCATTCAGCAGAAAACACTTTGGATAAAATTTCTGTTATTTATAGTTTTTGTTTCAAGAAATCTTATCAAGTGAAATCATCCACTGGAAGAGTAGCTATTTTGTCTTGATTTTTTTTACTTTTTAACAGTGTATGAGGTAATGATGGTTTAGTACATTTTATATTAATCTGACACATTCTGACTGTTTAAACCTGATTCTCCAACGAGACAAAGATATTTAGTCTCATTTCAAGAACTGTTGCTTTATTTTATCCAACTTTTTTGGAAAATCTAGTTTTAAATCAGTCAAAATATGCTCAAATGAAAACACATTTTTACCAAATTTGACATATTTTTCATAACGTTTTGCAGTGTATGAGCTAAACTTACTCCTTTGTGTTTGTTATTATTCCATTTCTTGTGTTTTAAAGTGATCGTCTGTAACTCTAAATGAATTACAAATGTTAAGAATTGTATTAAATTGACCTCCTGGCCTTAAATGTTGATATAAAATAAGTCATTTTATGAATTCTAATATTACGGTAAGTCCCGCCTTCCCTTCTCTTCGCTATAGCTCAGAATCCACGATGCTGTCCAGTTTAACCAATCAGGTGATGCCAAGGGCTGTCAATCATCGGCAACTGAACCTATATCCATAATCATTTATATACTGAACCTATATCCATAATCATTTATATACTGAACCTATATCCATAATCATTTATATACTGAACCTATATCCATAATCATTTATATACTGAACCTATATCCATAATCAGATCCTCTGCAGATGTGTCCTATAATGTTCAATTCATGATAATAGCTACTTCCGGGTTTACCGCGATCTGTGCATAAAAACATTATTTTTGTCATGAAAATGTTAACAGATAATTCTGAAAACGTCTGTGCATGTGTGTTAATAATGTATATGTATAATGTGTTCTCCAATCAGAAAGGAAGGGGGAGGAGCTTGGGTCGTTTTTTTGCAAATCATGTACCCCTCTCTCTTTTTTCTGACAAACTCCAGACAATCACTTTAAACCGTGTGATTCTCTGATTTCTCGTTGGTGAATCGACAACTGCTGTGATTTAAGGCTATACACAAAAAATACTTTGAATTGAACCGAAAACCCGCTGAGAGCCGCATCAGTTCTGCTCCAAACATACTCAGGGCTTCATTACAAATGCGTTTGGATGTCGACTTCAAACACCACCATGTTTATCCAGGGCCCTCTGTGCCCGGGCGCCAGGTCCACGCAGACTCCGAGCTAATGGGCCTCATCACATCCAACATGCTCCACATCTGAGGCTGCAGACCAGAGGAAAACATGAAAAACACGTGGATTTTATTCGTCCACTTTGCGAGAGAGAAATCGGCCCATTCTCACGGCTTCATCTGTGTGTTTTCTCTTTGACTGATGGTTTTTCTGTGTTTGGTTTCTTGTTTTGCAGTCACGCTGCTGGACTCGCGGTCGGTGCAGGGGGAGTTGGGATGGGTGGCCAGTCCCACTGAAGGAGGGGTGAGTCTATCTCTATCTATCTATCTATCTACGAATGAATCTATCTCTATCTATGTACCTATCTATGTACCTATCTATGTATCTATCTATGTATCTGTCTGTCTATCTATCTATCTATCTACGAATGAATCTATCTCTATCTATCTATGTATCTATGTATGTATCTATCTACTGTATGTATCTGTCTGTCTATCTATCAATCTCTCTATGTATCTATCTGTCTGTCTGTCTGTCTATCTATCTATTCCACATTGGAATACATTTGCAAAAGTCCCCAGTGTGCACCAGACAAGTACAGAAATGAAACACAATTAAAAGTACAGAAATAAAACCATATCGAGATGTCCTGCAGCTCAGTGAACCACATCTTCTGCCAGAGGGAAGAAGCTAGAACATGGCTTTTCCAGGGACCAGAGGAGTCATTGATTTCAAGAACTGATGCTTTAATTTCTCATTCCAAGGGGGATTATAGTTGCATTCGTTTATTGGTGAGGGTTCTAAAACAATACATGTAAACAAATGTCAGATTACACTGCAAAAATGTCATACAATAAAAGTACAGGAATAAAAAAAATTACTGGTGTTAATCAATCACTGAAGAATTTGGGCATAATCTCCATAAATATCGGCAAACAAATCAATAAACATTATTTTTGAGTACCGGGACCAGCAGCCCCTCGCTCTCCTCTCACCGCGGTCAGACCAGCAGCACCTCTGGGCCCTCGCTCTCTCACCGCGGTCAGATCCAGTGATACCGAGCCCAGAGTAAGGTTTCCTCCACAGCAGCTCTCACTCTCTCTGTGAGGAGGAAACTTTATATCCCTCTGTATCATTGAACTGAGCAGAGAGCCAGGGACGAGTTGGCATGGGCCAGAGGGGGAGGGGGCGGCGGGGGGGGACCAGGGAGAGAGACTAGGGAGAGAGAAGAAGACTTGGCATGGGCCATAGAGGGGGGGGATGGGGGTTGTAGACGAGAGGGAGAAGGGGGAGGAGGGGGGAGGGAAAGGGGAGGGAGGGAGGAAGGAGAGAGACCGGGGAGAGAAGAGAGAGAGGAGAGAGGGGAGCAAGGGAGGACTTGGCATGGCTAAACTTGAGGTTAGCGACAATTAGCAACAAAGGCTACGTGGCTAACAGTAGCACAGTGTAAAAAATGATTAAAAGAAATGAGGTAATAAATGCTTGAATCGAGTGGGTTTTTTACATGATTTTTTTTCTTATTCCAAAATCTGTTTCTGTATTTCCTCATTCCAAAGGAGACATTTCTGTATCTTTTTTTAAACCAGATCATTTTTCTTCGTCTCGTTGGAGAATCTTGTTTTAACACAGTCAGAATGAGCTCAAATTAAGACACATTTTTCCAAATTTGAGCGAATTCTTTTTCCTCACCTTTTGCAGTGTAAGTTCATAATAACCGGTTTTTGTGAAAGCTCCAGAGAAGACAGATGCATTATTAATAACAATTACTTGTGACAGGACGGATTATTGTCTCTGTAAAATTAGAGGCTTCTGAGTTATTCCTGGATATTGGGCTTTTACCGGAATGGGGGAATATTTTTGTACACATAAAATGGATAGAGTACGAAATATACAAATACTAAACAAGGAAAACAGAACTTCGACAGAAATGTGTACTTACTTTTATTTATTTTTTACTTTTATAGTATTTGACATTACATTTATTTGATTGAACTGCCTTTGAAATACTATTGTAGAACTGTCTGATACTGGAGGAGATCACGGCACATTTATCTGAAAGTAGAAGCGCGACCAACCACAGTGAATGGATGAACTTAGAAGCACGGCTAACCACTTCAAACTAGTTTTCATGGCACTGGTCATTTCAAAACGTAAGGAGCAGAAAGTACAAAAAAATGGTTTGTAAGTGAAAAGCAGAAGTAAAAAAGTTGGAAAAAAAACTAATTATTTTCCATAAATACATTTGTTTTTTGTCAAAGGACCTTCTTCTTCTTCTTCTTCAAAGAGATAAAGAAATGTCTCCCTTGAAATGAGAAAATAAAGCAATAGTTGTAGAAATAAAACTAAATGTCTTTGTCCCATTGGAGAATCTTGTTTTCACTCGATTCAAGCTCATATTTTATCATTTTTTGCAGTGTTCTACCATTATTAGCCTCAGTTAAGCACGTAGCCTCCGTCACTAATTGTCGCTAACCTCAAATTTAGCCTCATTACTTTCATCCAACTGCTGCCCGAGCCTGAGCCTGAGCCTGAGTCTTAGCCCGAGGACCAGAATTTCTTTTGAGCGTCCGTGTTTTGGTTTTTGGGAAACAGTTTGAAGCGTTTGATTGACAGGGTCCTGGCCTCGCGGCGTCTCTCTTTCACTCGCTCATTACCTCCGTTTGGCCTCATGTTCTGGGCCCGAGCTAACGACCGTGGAAGGCTACGCTACAGCTAGCTTTATCTCGCTACATTTCCACGACAAAGGGCCGGGAGAGAGAGCAGGGAGAGAGAAGAGAGAGACCAGAGAGAGCAGAGAGAGAAGAGAGCAGAGAGAGAGCAGAGAGAGAGCAGAGAGAGAGAGAGAGAGACCAGAGAGAGCAGAGGAGAGAGAGAAGAGGAGAGAGAGAGAGAAGAGAGAGACTAGAAAGAGCAGTGAGAGCAAAGAGAGAGCAGAGAAAGGCCAGAGAGAGATTAGAGAGAGAGACCAGAGAGAGATTAGAGAGAGAGACCAGAGCGAGCAGAGAGAGATTAGAGAGAGAGACCAGAGAGAGATTAGACAGAGAGACCAGAGTGAGCAGAGAGAGATTAGAGAGAGAGACCAGAGAGAGAGACCAGAGTGAGCAGAGAGAGATTAGAGAGAGAGACCAGAGAGAGCAGAGAGAGATTAGAGAGAGAGACCAGAGAGAGAGACCAGAGAGAGATTAGACAGAGAGACCAGAGTGAGCAGAGAGAGATTAGAGAGAGAGACCAGAGAGAGAGACCAGAGAGAGATTAGAGAGAGAGACCAGAGCGAGCAGAGAGAGATTAGAGAGAGAGACCAGAGAGAGATTAGACAGAGAGACCAGAGTGAGCAGAGAGAGATTAGAGAGAGAGACCAGAGAGAGAGACCAGAGAGAGATTAGACAGAGAGACCAGAGAGAGCAGAGAGAGATTAGACAGAGAGACCAGAGAGAGCAGAGAGAGAAGAGAGAGAAGAGAGCAGAGAGAGAAGAGAGAGAGCAGAGAGAGAGAGAGAGACCAGAGAGAGCAGAGGAGAGAGAGAGAGAAGAGAGAGACTAGAAGGAGCAGTGAGAGCAAAGAGAGAGCAGAGAAAGGCCAGAGAGAGATTAGAGAGAGAGACCAGAGCGAGCAGAGAGAGACCAGAGAGAGAGAGCAGAGAGAGATTAGACAGAGAGACCAGACAGAGAGCAGAGAGAGATTAGAGAGAGACCAGAGAGAGAGAGCAGCGAGAGACCAGAGAGAGATCAGAGGGAAAGACCTGTCTCTCGCTCAGCCCAAAGAGTCAAACAGTGACTCCGAGGGCTCTTTCTTTTACAAAGGCCTGTTCAGCATTAAACATGTTCCACCAAATACATATAATATTTATGAACTTATTTACATATTTATGAAGCTAAGTGTGTGTTCACGCCACCTTCCCCGGCTTTAGAGGACAACAAGAATACCAAGGATGTCAAATAGATTGTTTTGTTTTGGAAATATTGTACAATTTGTAATAAACGCAATATACGCAAATAAATTGAACCAATAATTCAAAAATCAACATTAGTCATTTTGAACTACTTTTAGATCATATAAACATATATAGTCATCTAAAAGAATGTTTCCATCTGCATGTAAAAGCCAGATCCAGTCAGACCCCTGAAGCTAAGCTGGGCAGGGCCTGGTTAGTACTGTGATGGGAGACCAAACTGTGGTAGTGTCCTTAGGCATGAAACTTCATCGCCATTGCCTAGAATGAGTATGGTGTGTGTGTGAATGGTTGGTGGTGGGAGGGACTGATGGCACAGACTGGTTGCTTCGCTTCTGTCAATATGCCCCAGGGCAGCTGTGGCTACAGTAGTAGTTTATCACCGCCACGTATGAAGTGAATGAATAATGCCATGTGGAGCGTCTTTGAGAGTCCGATAACAGCATAAAATCGATTCATTATTATTAACATTTATTTGGTGATTTCCCGCAGTGGGAGGAGGTGAGCATCATGGACGAGAAGAACATTCCCATCCGGACGTACCAGGTGTGCAACGTCATGGAGCCCAACCAGAACAACTGGCTCCGCACCGACTGGATCCCCCGCGGAGGAGCTCAGCGGGTCTACATCGAGATCAAGTTCACGCTCCGGGATTGCAACAGCCTCCCCGGAGTCATGGGCACCTGCAAAGAAACCTTCAACCTCTACTACTACGAATCCAACAATGACAAGGAACGCTACATCCGGGAGAACCAGTTCGGGAAGATCGACACCGTGGCCGCGGACGAGAGCTTCACCCAAGTGGACATTGGAGACCGGATCATGAAGCTGAACACGGAAGTTCGCGACGTGGGTGCCTTGACCAGGAAAGGGTTTTACTTGGCGTTCCAGGACGTGGGCGCCTGTATCGCCTTGGTTTCCGTTAGGGTCTTCTACAAAAAGTGCCCTCTTGCTGTAAGGAATCTGGCCCAGTTTCCCGACACCATCACGGGGGCGGATACCTCGTCGCTGGTGGAGGTGCGTGGATCTTGTGTGGATAATTCGGAGGAGAAAGAAGTTCCTAAAATGTACTGCGGAGCGGACGGAGAGTGGTTGGTGCCCATCGGGAACTGCCTTTGCAACCCGGGATTTGAGGAGCGCAACTCGGAATGCCAAGGTAAGACCATGGCCCTTTGTTTGCTGGCTGTTGCTGGTTTTTACCAAAGAGTTTGATGTATTTCTGACACCAACGAGACAATTGATGGTTCGTTCTATAAGTCGGTGATCTTGGTTCGTTTGGTTCTGGGAGAGTATATGGCAAGTTCTGGTCAAGGTTAAGGTCCGTTGCTGGTTTGCTTCCTGGTTGTTTTCCTGGTTGTAGAGTATTTTTTGTGTTTGTGGGAGCTGGGAGAGCTCTGTTGAAAGTTACCAGCCAGATTTGGCCACTCATAACTGATGTAAACTACAAGCATTTGCAAATCAAATACACACATTTATTATATGACTTTGATCGTACGCACGCTCTGATTGGCTGATTTGTGGTCGGATATTTTCCCATCTCGGACCGTTACCATGACAATCTGTCCGCAGCGCGTATCACATTTGATATCTTTCCTTGGTAAAAAAAAAAAGAAATAATGGGCGACGAATGGGAGCATTGTCCAGTGAATTCTATTATTGGGCGGCATGGTGGCTGAGTGGATAGCACTCGCCACAGAGAGAGACCAGAAACCAGAGAGAGACTGGAGAGGGACCAGAGAGAGACTGGAGAGGGACCAGAGAGAGACCAGCAAGAAAACAGAGAGAGACTGGAGAGGGACCAGAGAGAGACCAGCAAGAAACCAGAGAGAGAGAGACCAGAAACCAGAGCGAGACTGGAGAGGGACCAGAGAGAGAAAGCAGAGAGAGAGAGACCAGAGAGAAACCAGAGAGCGTGAGAGACCAGAGAGAAAAACCATATAGAGACCAGAGAGAGACCAGAGAGAAACCAGAGAGAGATCAGACCAAGACAAGAGAGAGATCCAGACCGAGACCAGAAAGAGAGAAGAGCTGTCAAAAGTCTCTCTTTCTTTTCATTTAGTCCTGGCTTCATTACTCATTAGACTGTTTCCACTTCTTCCCCTTCGTGTCTCTCTCACTCCTCACCTCTTCCCTTTGTTTGTTCATTTCCCTGCTCGTACCTGTGCTCTCAAAGCCGTGATGATTGTAAATAGAGTAATTAGCGGGCCCGTTGGGAGGTGTTGTGCAATGGGGCGCATCCCTCAGAGAATTCGGTGACACGCCAAATAGCGAACCAAAAAAAATAAAAAAAATAATACTGTCTCTACCTGATTGCCTTTTCTTTGTCGGAATGGCGGAGTGCAGGGAATGGCGACGGGAGATACACATTCTGTAGAGGACGTGGAGAGGGGAGAATTGGTTTATCATTCCAGGCAGGCGTCAGCGCAGTGGAGGCACACAGCTGGGAGATGCTAGCTATTGGAAAAAGAATAAAGAAAAAAAACACAGAGAGGCCCTGACAGACATTTTTTTTATTCTGGTTTTTGGTCGGCTGCTGCTGCGGGACGTTCGGTATATGATGAGGTTTTAAGGTCATTGCACACTGCGGTTGTTATGAGTTTGTTAGCGCAAATGTGAGTGTAGATGTTAGCGTGAATTGTGCAGCTGTTGCTATGTGTAGCGTTAGCGTAGCCAGACCGCCTCCTGTGGAATAAACCTAAAAGAAGATTGTTGATGATTAGGTGGATGTACAATATGTCGGCTTTATGTCCGTTAAAAACTGTCTGTATTTTTAGTTTTAGTTTTAGGTTCAATTACTTGTTGATCCAGACGAATTATTTATTGTAACAGGTTTATGTTCCCACCAAAAATTAAAAAAGAAAAAATACAGAGATTTCCTGAGAGACATTTTTAATTCTCATTTTTGTTCGGCTGTTGCTGGTAGTTCTCGATATGATGAGGTTTTAAGGATTTAGAGGTTTTACAGAAAATGTGAGTGACAATGTTAGCCTAGCGGCACGGTGGCTGAGTGGATAGAAGAAGGTCCTGGGTTCGAATCCCGGTTGGAACAGGGGATTTTGCATGTTCTCCCCGTGTCTGTGTATTTTTTCTCCGGGTGCTCCAGTTTCCCCCACCACTAAAAGCATGTAACAAATGAGAGAAGGGAACAAAAACATTGGCTTTATATCCTTTAAAAATGGTCTATATTTTTAGATTTCTGTGAATCTAAATGTAAGAAAACGCTGCTTTAGGTTCAATCACTTGTTGATACAGACCAATTATTTATTGTAACAGGAAGTTTATATTCCCACAACAAATAGTAGATGGCCACCTGTACTCAAGATCAAGTTTTATTGGAAAAGGAAAATAAAAACACAGAGATCGCCTGAGACATTTTTAATTCTCATTTTGTTCGGCTGCTGCTGGTGGCTCTGGATATGAAGAGGTTTTAAGGACCGTTTTCTGAGTTTGTGAATTTGAGCAGATGGCGTTTCCGATGCAGTCTCTTCCATGATGGAGCGGTTGGTTCTCAGAGTTATGGCGTGGATCACGACTGCGATACTAAACAGAGAAACACATTCACAGCTTCTTTGGCAGGTTTTCCTTCTACGTTCATTGTTTAGACCTGCTTTCGTACCATTTCAGTTCTACATTAAACCATCTATCTGTGTAATTTCTGTAGTTTGTCTCTTTGTCTGTGAGTATAACATAACTCAAATGGTTATGGGAGGATTTGGATTATATTTTTACTGGGTTTTTCTAGCTCATAATGCATTAGTGTTGAAAATGGACATTGGTAATCTGCCCCCTATGGCTCTAGGCAAGGCAAGTTTATTTGTAAAATCATAAATAATCCACAGAGTACATTGATAATCCAAGTACATTGAAAAGGGTGAAGACACGATACTTCAGTTGTCGCACAGATAAACTGTTTTTAAGCTGGATTTCGTCAGAGAAGAAACCTGTCTCACATTTCCTGACTGTTTCAGACTGTTGCAGATTCTTGCGGCATAAATCTGAAATATCTATGAATTTTGTATCATCGCATTTCTGGTATATGATTTGTTTTTTCTCCGATCTGTGCCGGCAAATTAGACGTTTTGTAAAGTCATCCCGGAGGGGGAGGCTACGCAAAAATACATTGAATTGAAATGAATTGAAAATTAGCATAGCCGCTATAACGATAAAGAGGCTAAATCTGATCAGTCCAAACTAACGGTTGTGTCAATGTCAATAAACTAAATAAATAAATACATAATTTTTCATTCTAGTTGCTTTGAAAATGGCTCTCTCTCTGGTCTCTCTCTCTCTCTTTCTCTGGTCTCTCTCTCTCTGGTCTCTCTCTCTCCCTCTCTCTCTCTCTCTCTCTCTCTCTCTCCTCTCTCTGGTTGCTCTCTCTCCCTCTCTTTCTCTCTCTCCCTCTTTCTCTCTCTCTCCTCTCTCTCCTCTCTGCTCTCTCTGGTCTCTCTGGTCTCTGTCTCTCTCTCTTTCTCTGTCTCTCTCTCTGGTCTCTCTCTGTATCTCTCTTTCTCCCTCTTCTGTCCTTGAGCCTATACTTGTTGATACCTTTGTTGTTAGTGCTGATTCAGATTGATTTGAGTTCATTACAGATTGCGCCTCTCTGTGTTTACTAAAACGTCTCAAATCTGGCTAACCACTAGTTTATTGTTTAGCCTAATTGCCGCCCGTTGCTATCGTGAATGCTAGTAAGCGGCTAACAAACGGCGCAGGCGGAGGATGGATGGCTGTGATTAGGGGGGGGACGGACCACCTCTACAGCTCATAATTTATGACCCACCCTTTATCTGGAGCATAATACGACCACAGAAAGAGCGAGTGATTTAGAGCCACCTTTTGGAGGACGCAGGGTGGGCTCCAATCAGCACACATGTTGTTATACAAGATGGAACATTTGGAGTTTTACTGGTTTTAAATGTCAGAGATAATACTTTAGTCTTCTGCTGTAAGTCTTAAATTATTAAGTTTTTTTACATTGTCAGGAAATTCTTTCAATCATTCACACAACTACTACATTTTCTGTCATGTTTAAGAAAAGCCTTCATTATTTGGTGAGATATGACTGTAGTGTTGGAAAGTAGTGAATCAATGAAAAAACAATGGTTTGGGGAGAGAAAGACCAGAGAGAGAGACCAGTGAGAGGCCAGAGAGAGAGACCAGAGAAAGACCAGAGAGAGAGACCAGTGAGAGGCCAGAGAGAGACCAGAGAGAGAGAGACCAGAGAAAGACCAGAGAGAGAGACCAGTGAGAGGCCAGAGAGAGAGACCAGTGAGAGACCAGAGAGAGACCAGAGAGAGAGAGACCAGAGAAAGACCAGAGAGAGAGACCAGTGAGAGGCCAGAGAGAGAGACCAGTGAGAGACCAGAGACCAGAGAGAGACCAGAGAAAGACCAGAGAGAGAGACCAGTGAGAGACCAGAGAGAGACCAGAGAGAGAGAGCAAACAGGGACCATAGAGAGAGACTAGACCAAAACCAGAGCGAGACCACAGAGAGATCAGAGAGATATGAAAACCACTCGATTCCTACTGTTCTGTAACACTGAAATTGAAAGTATAGAATCTCTCAATATCTTAATAAAAAACATTTAGAAAGTTGATTTTTCTCTACTTCTTGCCTTAAGAATACATTTGATTTGACAATTTTTATTCTTTATTAACATGATTTGACGACACACTCACCCCTGTCTAGATCGCCCTCTCCTTGTTCATTTGCGTCTGTGTCTCTTTAGCCTCAGCTTTTGTCTAAATCTTCCTTGGCTCTGGCAGTGGATCCCATCATGACTTCAAACCCGTCTGTAGTTTGAAAATGAGAGGGCTGATGTTTGGTCGTGTATATTCCAGCGCAGAGAGCCTCCTTATCTCCTCTCTTTCATTTCACTTTAAATAAATACACTTGTCTGCAGTGTGTAATAAAGCCGTTGGAAGCTCCGCTCGTGCTTGAGTAATGGGGAGGCCTGCCAGCTCGTGTGATGACGGGGGGGAGACGGTTTGAGCCAATTTTCTCGTTTAGCGCACTTATCACAGCCCAGTGTTTAAGCTTTCGGAGCCAAACATTTACCTCATATATACGCAAGCAGTTTAAGAATGTACTCCTCAGAAGATACAGATGGATCCAGTTCAGGAGGAGACAAGGCTGCGTTTGGAAAGGATAGAGGTTAAAGTATGTTGTGAATTTAGAGTGAGAGAGACCAGTGAGAGACCAGAGAGAGAGGCCAGAGAGAGAGCAGAGAGAGAGGCCAGAGAGAGAGACCATAGAGAGAGCAGAGAGAAAGGCCAGAGAGAGAGGCCAGAGCAAGACATGACAGAGAGCAGAGAGAGAGACAAGAGAGAAACCAGAGAGAGAGACCAGAGAGCGAGAGAGAAAGAGAGGCCAGAGAGAGAGACCAGTGAGAGAGCAGAGAGAGAGGCCAGAGAGAGGCCAGAGAGAGACCAGAGAGAGACCAGAGAGAGGCCAGAGAGAGACCAGAAAGAGACCGGAGAGAGACCAGAGAGAGAGCGCGAGAGAGAAAGAGAGACCAGAGAGAGACCAGAGAGAGAGGCCAGAGAGAGACCAGAGGGAGAGGCCAGAGAGAGAGGCCAGAGAGAGACAAGAGAGAGACCAGAGATAGAGCAGAGAGAGAGAGACCAGAGATAGAGCAGAGAGAGAGAGACCAGAGAGAGAGCAGAGAGAGAGAGAGACTAGAGAGAGAGACCAGAGAAAGAGATAGAGCAGAGAGAGAGAGAGACCAGAGCGAGATCAGAGAGAGAGACTAGACAAAGACCAGAGAGAGAGCCGTCAGAGGTTATTTGTTATATGTATTTATTTGAATAAGCAAAGACAGAACTGGACGTGGACCATACAGACTGGGATGAACATCATACATCAGGGCAGATTGTAGAGGATCATTTTCATCTGTAATCCCAGGGGTCACGAGGGATTAGAACCAAATACAGCAGATAAAAGCACACTTGAACACACGTACATACACACACACACACACACACACACACACACACACACACATACACATTAATAACCCATTTCTGGGTCTGGTCTCATGGTGGGCTCGAACCATGACAAGTTGTGGGTTCCCTGGTCTATGGGTTGTCTTCTAGTTTTTAGTTTGACGTCAGCGTTGTGACAGCCGTGTGGAGAACAAGCAGAGGCCGGGGCTGTGGCGGCGGTCAGAGGAGGTCAGAGGAGGTCAGAGGAGGTCAGGGTCATGCCTCTGTCACTCAGGCCCAAAGAGGAGAGGCTCAGAGGCTCTAGTCTGAGCTCCGGTCGCCCGATGGGGAGGCATGTGTTGTGTGTGGGGTTTTTAGCCTTGTCCTGAACTCAGTGGGACATTTTTAATCAAGTTTGCATGCTCTCCCCGTGTCTAAATGTCTTCAAAAACATAACACAAGTGCAGATGGAATTATTTCGGTATTGATAGTGTTTTTGGATAATGTTAGATTAATTATTTTTTCCCACGACATTTCAAAAAAATGTACGCACAAAGTATGGCTTTTTTGCAGAACAGACACACAAAACAAAAAGTTGTAATAGCCGCACACTTGTCACATGTCAATGTCAGTAGCAGCAACAGAAAATAATATACTGTATACGTATATATATATATTAAATATATATACATGTACTGTATATGTATGTACACATACACATGAGCTTCCGACCATGTGGGATTTTAATCGTGTTTATTTTATGTTTATGGAGATTTGAATGTTTATGATTTATGCCTGCATGTGATGCTGGTTGTGTGTACTTTGTGTTTCCTTGTGTAGATACAGATTTAGGGCGATACAAAAATGAATGGAAATCCTCTCAGTTTGTTTGTCTCCAACTCCTCCTCCTCTGGACTCTCCTCTGCCTCCTCTGGGCTCCCCTCCTCCTCTAGACTCTCCTCCTCTGGACCCTCCTCCTCCTCTAGACTCTCCTCCTCTGGACCCTCCTCCTCCTCTAGACTCTCCTCCTCTGGACCCTCCTCCTCCTCTAGACTCTCCTCCTCTGGACCCTCCTCCTCCTCCTCTAGACTCTCCTCCTCTGGACCCTCCTCCTCCTCTTAGACTCTCCTCCTCTGGACCTTCCTCCTCCTCTAGACTCTCCTCCTCTGGACCCTCCTCCTCCTCTAGACTCTCCTCCTCTGGACCCTCCTCCTCCTCTAGACTCTCCTCCTCTGGACCTTCCTCCTCCTCTAGACTCTCCTCCTCTGGACCCTCCTCCTCCTCTAGACTCTCCTCCTCTGGACCCTCCTCCTCCTCTAGACTCTCCTCCTCTGGACCTTCCTCCTCCTCTAGACTCTCCTCCTCTGGACCTCCTCCTCCTCTAGACTCTCCTCCTCTGGACTCTCCTCCTCCTCTGGGCTCCCCTCCTCGGTCTTTGTCCCGGGCAGCCGTGGACCCAGGGCTTGGTGAGGTGGTGGTGGTGGGGGTGAGGGGGTGAGGGCAGGGAGAGGGGGAGGGAGGGAGGTGGGAGAAGTTTCTACGACCTTTGGGAAAAAAACAAGACGCTCAGAAAGTCTCCACTGTCATTTTGTCCCAGACCCTCTTCCTGCTCTATGTACAGAAGTATACAGAAAACAATACAGTATTTTACAATTCTTATTATGCTAAAGCTAGAGATGTTATACTAGTTTCTTTATTTTGCTAAAGCTAGTGAAGTTAAAGTAATAAATACTAAAGTTACATGAAAAAGGGTGAAGACACAGACCTTCAGTCCTATGCACGGATAAACAGAATCTTTTTAACCTGGATTTGAACATAAAATAAACATATGTATTCTGTATTATACCTGAAAAAACAAATAAAGTTAGATACCCCAGCTTTAAGAGAAAAACCCTTGGAGAACTCAAAACTCTGCATTTCTGAGCGTCTCTGAGAATAGCAGCCTCGGTTCGAAGACGCAGACTTAGCAACTCTGTGGAGGCGAGAGGCCGAGAGGGGAGGGGGAGACGGGGGTGAGCAGGGGGAGACGGGTGAGGAGGGGGGGTCCAGGGGTCTTGATCTGCACATGGGGCCACGGTCTCTGTGTCTGTTTGCTTTTGGATATACTCCGGCTGCTAACCGGCCTCCCCACGGGGCCGGGTCACCCCATCCCTCGCTCCTCATCTGTTATCGGGGCAGAGCGAGCAATAAAGACCCTGTGTCTGGCATTAGAAACATTAGCATCAGGAGAAGAAGGAGTTAGCATCAGAAGGAGAAGGAGGAGTTAGCATCAGGAGGAGAAGGAGGAGTTAGCATCAGGAGGAGCAGGTGGAGTTAGCATCAGGAGGAGAAGGAGGAGTTAGCATCAGGAGGAGCAGGTGGAGTTAGCATCAGGAGGAGAAGGAGGAGTGTCTCTGGTCTCTCTCTCTAGTCTCTCTGGTCTCTCTCTATTCCCTCTAGTCTCTCTGGTCTCTCTCTATTCCCTCTAGTCTCTCTGGTCTCTCTCTCTAGTCTCTCTGGTCTCCCTCTATTCCCTCTAGTCTCTCTGGTCTCTCTCTCTAGTCTCTCTGGTCTCCCTCTATTCCCTCTAGTCTCTCTGGTCTCTCTCTCTAGTCTCTCTGGTCTCCCTCTATTCCCTCTAGTCTCTCTGGTCTCACTCTCTAGTCTCTCTGGTCTCCCTCTATTCCCTCTAGTCTCTCTGGTCTCTCTCTCTAGTCTCTCTGGTCTCCCTCTATTCCCTCTAGTCTCTCTGGTCTCTCTCTCTATTCTCTCTGGTCTCCCTCTATTCCCTCTAGTCTCTCTGGTCTCTCTCTCTAGTCTCTCTGGTCTCCCTCTATTCCCTCTAGTCTCTCTGGTCTCTCTCTCTATTCTCTCTGGTCTCCCTCTATTCCCTCTAGTCTCTCTGGTCTCTCTCTCTAGTCTCTCTGGTCTCCCTCTATTCCCTCTAGTCTCTCTGGTCTCTCTCTCTAGTCTCTCTGGTCTCTCTCTATTCCCTCTAGTCTCTCTGGTCTCACTCTCTAGTCTCTCTGGTCTCCCTCTATTCCCTCTAGTCTCTCTGGTCTCTCTCTCTAGTCTCTCTGGTCTCCCTCTATTCCCTCTAGTCTCTCTGGTCTCTCTCTCTAGTCTCTCTGGTCTCCCTCTATTCCCTCTAGTCTCTCTGGTCTCACTCTCTAGTCTCTCTGGTCTCCCTCTATTCCCTCTAGTCTCTCTGGTCTCTCTCTCTAGTCTCTCTGGTCTCCCTCTATTCCCTCTAGTCTCTCTGGTCTCTCTCTCTATTCTCTCTGGTCTCCCTCTATTCCCTCTAGTCTCTCTGGTCTCTCTCTCTAGTCTCTCTGGTCTCCCTCTATTCCCTCTAGTCTCTCTGGTCTCTCTCTCTAGTCTCTCTGGTCTCCCTCTATTCCCTCTAGTCTCTCTGGTCTCTCTCTCTAGTCTCTCTGGTCTCCCTCTATTCCCTCTAGTCTCTCTGGTCTCTCTCACTATTCTCTCTGGTCTCCCTCTATTCCCTCTAGTCTCTCTGGTCTCTCTCTCTAGTCTCTCTGGTCTCCCTCTATTCCCTCTAGTCTCTCTGGTCTCTCTCTCTAGTCTCTCTGGTCTCCCTCTATTCCCTCTAGTCTCTCTGGTCTCTCTCTCTAGTCTCTCTGGTCTCCCTCTATTCCCTCTAGTCTCTCTGGTCTCTCTCTCTTGTGTCTCTGGTCTCTCTCTTTGCCAATTGTGTTAAAATATCTCCTTTATTATAAAATATAGTGACAGTTTAAAAAAAAAAAAAAAAACTAATTGTGCCATTGGTACATCTTTTTTAATACAAAAAAAACAGTCTCCTACCCCTTCTTCCTTCTCCCTCATTTCCTTGGTGTGTCCTGGTCCTAAACCGGGACGAGGCGTGAGTCGGGGCGATGCATTACTTCCACTGCTCCCGCTTTCTGTAATCTGTGCCGAGTTTCACACAAAGACACGCCACGGTGGAAATAGATGAGTTTCTACAAGGCACGGGGTCAAAAAACAGACAAAAATCCATTATATTTGCAAAGTGAGCTTTGGTTTTGTGGGAAAATGTTGGTGGGTTTTTCCCTGGGTCTAAACAATCGGGTGATTTCTGGTTTTGAATGGTCTGGACCAGGTGGGACTGGGAGAGGTTTGTAGCATAGACGACCATTGTCCTGTTTAAAGACCATTATAAATATATTTTCAGTTATTAACCAATGTTTATGGGATGTTTTTCTAGACTTCTATCCATTACTTTATTGACCCCTTGTCTGAAATTCGCCAAACACATCCAAAACATAGCATTAAGAATATAGCCTAGAAGTAGAAGAAAAACGGCTTGACAAGTACATAAATAAAACAGGATACCGATCTCTGCGCACATCGCACTTTTACAAGCTGCTTTCTTTGACAGTCAAACTCTATAACTGTTCATGTAAAAAGCACTTGCATGAATAAGAATAAATCTGGCCAGGTTTATAATCGCTATCAAACAAATTATATGGGAAAACTTTTGGATCTTCGTGTCAAATTTTCATTTTTTCAGAGTTGCATTGACAATTCTTGAACCTTCTACCTATTTTTTGCCGATAAAGATACAAGTGTTGAACCAACCGTTGGGTTTTAACAATGTCTCTGTGTTTCTATCATTGCATTTGTTGTGTTTGATTCTCTGATCTGTGTTGGCGAAATCGATGGTTTTGTAAAGTCCTCTGAGATAACTACTGTTGTGATTTACGGCTAAACAAAAATAGCTTGAATTGAATTGAAGTTAGTCCGTTATAGACACAATCCACCCCAATTTATACGACTATTCCGCTGTGACTCACTCTCTCAAGCTTCTCTCTTTGACCGTCAAACTACATAACTGTCCTCCACGGCGTAATTAATCCATTTTCCGCAAATATCCCCAACAATTTTCTCATCCCAGCATCTGTTTCCACTCTGACATAAGTGTTTAGCTCCAACGGCTTCTGTAAAAATTAGTTTTGCTTCCGGTCGGGCGTCGGAATGTTGCGACTCTCCGTCTGCAAAGTGTGTGATGTCAAGTCGTCAAGAAAAGTGGGATTGAAAAACTTAAAAAGGACACAGTTTTAAGTGCCTCTCTTGCTTTTCTCGCGTCTCTCCGAATCGCATCCTCTCTTTGAAGCCTTGCGATGGAAAGGGAGAGCCATTAAAGTAGTCAGCGGGTAAATTAGCATGTCAAAAGGGCTGCGAATCAATACCCCAGTGCTACGCCGACGTTAGCCCTCGCTCCTATCGCCCCCATGGGCTCTTTTCCGAAACCTCCGCGCCCCTAACTCTTCAACATTTGCTTTTTTATAACAGCGAGACGGACGGATGTATAGCCCCAGAAAGACAGACAGAGAAGATAGCCGCGGAAATAGGAGCGGATGGGCTTTTTTTTGGGTGATGCGATAAATAGGGTGAGAAAGAAAAGGCTTGAGGAAGTGTTAGGAATAGATTTGAATACAGAGAATGTAGAGGAAGTAACGTGAACAGTTTGGGAATCTTTGGAAAGACTGGCAGAATTTTAAGTTTTTAATGGAAGAAAGTTGGTTATTGCTATGTTTTTATACTGTTAAGATGGATGCAAACGATAGGGTTGGAGACATTTGTAGCCGTCTTGTAATATAGCCCTAATGCTAAATATTTATAACTATACCGTATAAATAATGATAAACAGGAAACAGGAAAGCCAAAAATACAAGTCAGGCCTGGAAAGTTCATTTAGGTTTTCCGAATAATGTACCACTGGTCTGGGTTCTAATTATTCAGACCCCAGACCATTTGAACGTAAAGAACACATTTTATGCATTTCTTTTGTCCATCAGAAATAATAATAAGACTTTATGCGTTGTCATTTCATGATTTAGAATGTGAAATATTATCTCAGTAGAAAATAAATGGCAAAACAGGTACTGTATGAAGGGTAAACAGATTCTGTTGGCCTGTAGCTCCCTGTGCTACCACCAGAGGGACAAAATGAATTACCGGGTGCATACATCCGCTTGCATTAAAAAAAAAACTGTCTCTCCATTGACAGTTTGATACTAAATAAAATGATTCAGTGCATTAGCCAACAGCCCGATCACTGCTGAGGCGAATCTAAAAACCTGGAGAGTATTTGGACATCACCAAACAAGACTGGTTTGAGAGATTTTGCGTAAAGCAGGGGTCTCCAACCTTTTTCAATCGGAGAGCTACTTTTATACAAACAAAGAGGCAGAGAGCAACTCCTTTAGGCAGGCGTAATAAAAATCTATCTAATAATTACGACCAAACTCGGAGAACACATATAAAATATACCATAATTAAATTGTAATTCCTTTGGCGAGCTACTGGTGGCTTCCGGGCTACAGGTTGGAGACCCCTGGCATAAAGACTAATTGTGTGTTTAGTTTTTGTGATTGTAGAGCAGATATTGGAGCCTCAGCTGTCTATCTACATTTTTGAATTCATATCATCCAATCAGGCGCCTGTGGGGGCGGGACTTACAGCCCTTTCATCCCAAAAACATCTCTCCATCTTCACAAT